AACATAGAATCTATATGCTTTGGAATGCTCAGCATATCCAATAAAGATACAATCTATACCTCTCTCACCCAATGTTTTCTTTTTAGGTTCAGTGAGCCTTACAACTGCTCTACAACCCCAAACTTTGAGATAACTCAAATTTGGTACCTTTTTACACCAAAGTTCATAAGGAGTATTCTTACTCCTTTTATTTGGAGTTCTATTCAAGATGTAACACGCAGTTAACATTGCCTCACCCCAAAACCCTTCACTTAAACCAGAATATGACAACATGGAATTAACCATTTCTTTAAAAGTCCTATTCTTCCTTTCAGCTACACCATTTTGTTGTGGTGTATATGGAGCTGTGGTTTGATGTATTATTCCAGTTGATTCAAAATAAACTGGATCATAATACTCACCACCTCTATCAGTACACAATACTTTTATTGATTCATTTTTATGAAGCTCAACTTGTTGTTTCTAAATTTTAAATTTATCAAGTGCTTCATCCTTAGAATGTAACAAATAGATATAACAATATCTAGATGCATCATCAATAAAAGTAATAACATACTTCTTGTTTCCAAGGGAAGGTGTTGCATGGAAATCACATAAATCACTATGTATAAGATCCAACACCTTGCTTTCCCTAACAACATCCTTGAAAGGTTGTCTAGTGATTTTAGTTAGCATGCATGTTTTACATTTTTCATTATTTTGCATATCAAAAGCAGGAATTAAACTCATTTTAGACATGTCTTTTAATCTCTTATAATGAATGTGTCCTAGTCTAGCATGCCATAATTCAGATTTGTAAAAATTATTGCTAGTACTACTAGAAGCCATGCAAATAGAATTATCACTAGAAGGATAATTAATATTAAGCCTAATCATTCCATTACATATATATCCAAATCCTATAAAAGAACCATGTCTTGACAAGATATACTTGTCACTTTCTAACACTTGTTTGTAACCACAATTATTTAATACAATTTCAGACACGAGATTCTTACGAATCCCTGGAACATATAAAACATTGTTTAAACACAAACATTTCCCAGAAGTAAAAGTAAGTAAAACAGATCCTATGCCCTTGATTGGTTCAGTTGCAACATTTCCCATCTTCACAACAGATCCATCTTCAATTGGTTGAAAGTCCTTGAACCAATATAGATCTTTGCAAACATGACTTGTTGCTCCCGAATCAACCCACCATGCAACTTTATCATCCTGCACATAAAATGCTTCAGAAATCACAGAAATATAATTCTGAATATATTTAGAATTCTGCAATGAAACAGAAATCTGACCTTGTTGCTTTTCTGGATCCTTGGATCCACTTGGTCCAGCACCATCCTTATTCACTTTGCGAAGACGACAATCTTTCTTGAAGTGACCGGTTTGTTACAATTCCAACAAACCAACTTAGCCTTCTTGTTGGAAGACTTGTCATCCTTCCTTTAAACTTCCTTTTTCCATTAGACTTCTTGGGATTCTTTGAACTTTCTCCTTCCACCATGTTCACAGAAGAGGAACCAACTTGGTTCTTGCCTTTAGGATTGTTATCAAGTTCTTGAGTCCTTATGGACTCTTCAATCCTTAAATGGCTTCCAAGTTGAGTCAAGGTCAATTCCTCCTTGTTATGTTTCAGATTGTGTTTAAAATCCTTCCAGGAAGGGGGCAGTTTGTCAATTATCACAGCCACATAAATGGCTTCATCCATTTTCAGATTGTGTTGAGTAAACTGTCCCAAAATCCGTAACATTTCATGGAATTGTTCCATAACAGGCCTGGAGTCAATCATCTTGTAACCCATAAAGTTACTAACAAGAAACTTCTTACTAGAAGCATCTTCAGTCATGTACTTGGATTCAAGAGAATCCCACAGTTCTTTTGCAGATTCAAAATTCTGATAGATATCAAAAAGAGAGTCAGACATACCATTGAGAATATGACCACGACATATGTAATCATCATTTCCCCACTTTGATCTTCTTCGAGTTGCCTCCAAAGGTTCATCTTCAACAGATTCTGGTAAGACTGGCATGGGTGTACTCAGAACATACACTACTTTTAGAGTGGTAAGGAGAAACTTCATCTTCTTCTGCCATCTACGAAAATCTTGCCCTTCAAACTTGTTCAGTTTTTCAAACTTGCTTGTCATTTCCTTCACAGATTCACCACTTGCCATGATCACAGATTACTTCGATTTTTGTTAGAAATATGGTTTAGTGGCACTTGGAAATCTGAGAATCGTGATAATCACTTTCAAATCGAAGTATTTGGGTGGTACTCCCAAACCCTCAATTGGATAAGACTCAGATAAAATCAAAGAGAAAGAAAGAGAGAATGAGATGGTGTAATTTTTGTGAGTACCAGAAAACTGACTAAAATTGGTTATATACATTCCTTGTTTGAAAAACTGTCAAAACTGTCATATAACAGTTTTCTCAACAGTCAAAATTGTTATAAATCCGGGTTTGGTATAAGGATTAATGCAAAGTCAAAACCGGGTCAAATATTCAAAATTTGGATTTTCTGATACATTTTTAATACAACAATATAACCCAAATTTGGATATTCAAAATTTCGATCCCAGCCAGGGGCTCTGCCCCTTGGACCCCGCCAGGGGCTGCCGCCCCTTGGACCCCGCTCCCAAGGGCGCTGCCCCCGGACCCCCGTTCGTTCAGGGGTTTCGACCTTAAATGATAGTGTACTTTGATACTTGATCAAACTTACACAAGTGTGTACTCCACACCTTCCTTACTTGTTTAATATTTATCAAGATCATTTTTAGTCAACAAAGTAATCCCATTACACTTAAATATAATTTTTATACAATTTAGTTGTTTAAATAAAAAAAACAAAAAAAACCTTCCAAGTTAACACATCCACCTTAATTAATGGCAAGTTGAACATCTTGTGTGGCAAAATGGAGTGGTGGTGCTCGGATTGTGGCAAATAAAAGCAGAAATGAGGGACGCAAATATATAATTTCCTTCAAAATCGCAATAAATCAGTAAAGGTAATTGTATCCAAATTTGAATGACTACTCAAAAAAATTCAAAATTGAATTCGATACCAAGGGCTACAATCTGCTTCATATATATCTGAAACGGATATTTTAATGTGTTTCATATACACCTCCAACGAAACAAACCATTATCGATTTCAAGAGTATTTGCCTCATTTGATTTATGTCTGTGATTTTTGATGGTCTTTAATTCTCCAAAACAAAATTTTCCAAAAAAAATGATTTCCTTTTCAAGTATTGCAATTTGATATCTTATTTGAGCATCGATGCTGCACTGAACTCAAAAAAAGTTGTTTCTGAGTCTTTTATATTTGATTCAGGTGTAAGTTTATGTCTTGCTTTAGGTTGGTTTATCTTCATGTTTTTTATTTATTTGTTTATACTTTGTTGTTTGTTTAAAATTAGTACGTGGTTAACTATGAGCAACTTGCTGAGATTAAATCGGGAAAGTTCTCGTGTTTCCATTGGGTATAATTGTTTAAACTTTGTACTTAATTTAATTTTTTTCCCTATATACTTTATTTTGACATTTTTAAAGGGATGAGCAGGATTCTGCAAATCCATTTGATTTGTTTGGTGACCCTTGGAGTTCTCAAGGTGGGAAATAATATTTATGGTTAAAAGATATTGTTTTTCTTATGTTTCTTTGTTTTAAATATTGTATGTCATCTGTGGCTAATAAATATACTATTATATCCTTTAAAGGATTGATGGATGAAGGAGTGACATCTGACTGAGTCTGGAGGTAGAGTGCAGAATACTGAAGGGCAATCCACTGAAAGGTTATACCATACCTTACGTAATATATATGACATGAAGTCTTTGATGATGTTTTTATAAATATTGTAACTTATTGTTGAAAGAGATCTCTTTATTTTCGAGTTATTAATTAAAACCATGGTACCTGCAATTTGTATATTCCAAATAATGGGATTTTGAAATATACTTAGCAAAAGATGTTAATGCTGTTGTGTAGCTTTCTTTAGTTTATAATATATTGAAAAAGAAAAGGAGCATTAGTTGTTTGAACAAAATGTGTTTAAAGTTATGTAATTGCTAATACGTTCTGTATCGAAAAATTAGTTAAATTGTGGAATTCTGGATGTTAACAAATTGGAATGTGAAATAAGCATTCTAGTTACAATGATATAATTATTTTCTTTAACCATTTTAATGTTCGATTATGAAGCTGTTCCTATGGATTAAACCAAGTATGTGATGGTAGGATAAGGTGATTATTCATACAGGTTAGCTGATATATGAAGAAAAATATAGAAACTTTTTAGGAGCAAGATGGGTTTACATTTGCTCTGTGCCCTAAACATCAGTTTTTGGGTTTATTGTTTTAATTATTTTTCTGCTGCCAACTTGTGCTACGAACTTAGCTTTGAATATTTCGTTCATTACTTTGAACTTTTAATTGATAAAAAATAGGAATGGTTAGTTTTAAAAGAAGCCTCGAGGTAATCAATAGTTTTAATGTTTTGTTTAAGTTGGAAGTATGTTAATTAATTTGTAAGCTATATTTACTACTATAAAATATTTGTATAAAATCAGTATTTAATTAGGAATTATTTATTGATATGAAATCCCTTCTTGAAATGCTATAAAAGACCGGGTTATTTCCAATAACGACCCCATATTTATTGTTTTTTTCGTTTTAAACCAAGAAGGTTTTTTTTTCCTTAAAAAACCACACATTTTGCAAAAACTTGTTTTTTTTTTTTTTTTTTTTTTTTTTTTTTTTTTTGTCTTGTAACCGGTTGAGTAGGTACCCAACAATCGTTGTATCCTACTTTCCTCTAAACAATTACACCAATCGATTGTATCGTCCATTCATCAATAAAATTGAATTTCTCTCCAAATCAATTCCCCCAATTGACTGGATGATCGGAAGCTGTCGTATGTAGCAAAAGTGGAGAAGCTCGAATCGGACGCCAAAGGAAGCAACGTAAAAGTTCACATACAGTGGTATTACCAATCAGAGGAATCGATCGGTGGCCGGAGACAGTTTCACGCCACTAAAGAGGTTTTCCTCTCCAATCACCAAGATGTTCAGATAGCGCCGATACAATCGAAGGCAGAGTGTTCTCATTAAATCATGTTGCACAAGAGCTTTGTCCTCACAATAGTTGGCAATCACAAGCGAATGTTTCCTGCAATCAAATAAAAAGCATATGAACAAACGACTCTTTGTGCATAAGGGTAATTTATTTATGTAGAAGTGAAATTAGAAGCCAAGTACCTGATTGGCAACAAAGTTGCGGGATTTTTGCAGGAGAGTTCAAAGAGGTGGTTTATGGTGGCTAATCCCTCTTCATCATCCTTATATAAATAGAACCACATGTCCATAAGCATTGTAGTCGCTATCCTCTCTTCCCGGAAACAAACCCAAGTCCAAGTAACATTGCTTGATTACATATTCTTCTTTGAATTGTTTAAACTGATGAAACATAGCAGTTGCATCTTAGTGGCTCAAAAGTTTCAACTGATATGTATTGAATTGTTTAAAGGTGAACCTCTCTTTGTGGATTGACCAATTGTAACATTGGCTCCAATAATACCTCCTGATCTTACATGAACATTACCACCTGAAATGCGTATGATCCTACATGAACAACCAAGCAATTCTTCTTGAATTTCCTAAACAACAATGGTTTTAACTTACCGGATGTTATGTTTCCGGTTACGCCGGCAGACGAACCTTGCGACATTTCTGGATTTCTCTGGTGATGAAGCTTGCGACACTTGAATATTTGATTTCCGAGAAATGGGGTTGAAAATGGATTTTGAGGAGTTAATAATATTGCTTAATCGCTTGATAGTAATTGCCATTTATGACATGTACCAGAAATATGGATTTTGAGGGTTGAAGATCAATACTGAGGTTCTTGAAGTCGGCAACCTCACAGACGAAACACTGAACGAATGGAAGGTAGTGGCGGAGGTAAGCTTTGGTTAGTGGGGTGTATGGCCCCACTTGAAAGTGGACCCCACCTGTTAATTTTTTAATTTTTTTTTTAAGAAATGGTCCCCCCTTGGTTAAAATTGTAGCAACCTTTTGTTTTACTCACGCTTCCTCTCTCTTCTAAAATCCCCTAATCCCTAACATATCAAGAACCTCCATTTTCTCTCTGATTTAAACCTACCTCCATTTTTCTTCATTTTCCCTCTGATTTTAACCTAGGTAGCCTTCGGTTCCTTAAGAAGAAGCTGTCGGAAACTCGGAGGGTCAAAGACAACTGGGAAGCCCGCCCCCAACAACCGGAAGTTCGTGAGTCAATCGTCCTTGGTATGATTTGTTTGGTTAAATATGTTGATTCTTGGAAATTGATTCTGTTAGATTGTTTTACATATGTTGATTCTTTGGGATTTAGGGAAATGTTGAACTTTGTTAGTTTTTTTGGGTGTTCATATACAGAGAGAAAAAAAAAGTTATGAGAGGTTCTTTGGATTGTATTATATTGTAATAAAAGTTCTTTGGGATTGTTAAAAATATTAATTCTTTGATTATTTACGAGAATATTTTAGTTATAAAAAATTAGGATGCACGATTATGAGTATCAAATATATTAACTATAAGGAAAAATTGACTCATATTCGTATATATGGATTGGAAACAGGTGAAGTAATATCAAATAGATTATATATATAAACTATTGTAATTGAGCTTATCTGTTTAAACATATTAACTCATATATGACAAAAACAAATGGTTATTTACATTCTGTTTAAAATATTTTGAGCTACAATTCTAATAATTTATGTTTTAAATTTGCTATCTACAGGTCATTGATTATTTAACAAAGAAAATGTTAAGATATTTGAAAAGAAAACCATCACCAAATGAAGCATATTCGTCCGGAAACGTTTCTAATGAAATTCTCCAACGTAGCTCTATTTCATCAGTCTCGATTGAAGATGATATGATTGAAATTTCTTGAGATCCGGATGATAGAAAAAAGTTTTCACATTATCACCCAAATCAAAGAGATGAAATAAGAAGAAAAAATTTAATTAAAGGACCTTCTCAACCGCGTGTTCATAAGAGAAAATTCCTCTGCTTATTATGTTCATTGTTTTGCTCACCAACTTCAACTAGTTGTTGTGGCGGTTGCAAAAAAACATCACGATGTTGGAGACTTTTTTTGATATGGTAGTTGTTCTAATGAATGTTGTGTGTGCTTCTTGTAAACGGATAGATATGATGCGTGAAAGTCAAAAAGATAAACCGGAAGAGTCCATCGGCCGTGGTGAAATTGAAACCGGAAGTGGATTAAACCAAGAGCTTTCTCTTACTAGAGTCGAAGATACACGTTGGAATTTTCATTACAAAACTCTATCGCGTTTAGTTGGTTTGTTTTCATATGTTATTGATGTGCTTGAATATGTTGAAGATGAAGGCCTTAATAGTTTTAGTCAACGTCAAGCAAGTGGTCTTCGAATATATTTTTGATCATTTGATTTTGTGTTCCATTTACAGTTGATGTTGCAAATTTTAGGGATTACAAACATATTGTCACAATCTCTACAAAGAAAGGATCAATATATCGTGAATGCCATAAGTTTGGTGAAATCAACCACCGCAACGTTAAAAAAGATGAGAAATGATGGGTTTGATTCACTTATGTTGGCCATCACCTCTTTTTGTGAGAATAATGAAATTCAAATGTTGAACATGGAGGATATCTATGTTAATCCAAGAAATCGAAGACAACATACCAATACCTCCAATCGCCATTATTACGAGTTTTTTTGTTTTAACATGGTTTTGGATATTCAAATTCAGAAGTTTGGTGATCGTTTTAGTGAAGTAACTTCCGAATTGCTTATTTGTATGACATGTTTGAATCCACATGATTCATTTTGTGACTTTGACCCATCAAAGTTACGGAAGTTGATCTATTTTTATGCACATGATTTTAGCTATAAAGATAGGATGAATATTCTACATGAACTTTCGGTTTACCCTTCTCATATGCAACAAGATGGAAGATTTGCTACTTTAAAAAGTATATCCGACCTTGCTAAAGTGATGGTGGAAACCGATACACATCTTTCCTACCCATTGATTTATCGGTTAGTGAAGTTGTCATTGGTCTTGCCAGTTGCTACCGCAACGGTGGAGAGATGTTTTTCCGCAATGAAGCTTGTAAAGTCGGATTTGTGGAATCGAATTTCGGATGAATTTTTAAATGATTGTGTAATTTGCGCGGTTAAAAGATAAGGATTTTCCAAGGTTAGAACTGAAAATATTATCAAACGTTTCTTAGCTATGTGCCCCCGTAGATTTCAATTGTAAAATGACATTTAGTTGTAAATTTTTATGTTATTCTACTTTTATTACTTTGTTTTATTTAATTTTCACGGTCAACGGTTGTGCACTCACTTGACTTTCGGGCTGGATCCGTCACTGATGGAAGGGAATAGTCGACTGGTTCGATTGTAGGTTACACTGGTATGATAGCATCGAATGAACGAATCGATGAGGGGAATCAAATGGGGGAATTGATTTTCGGAGAAATACATTTTTGTGGTTCGATTGTAGGTTATAGTCGATTGGTTGAATGTTTGAAAGGAAAGAAGGATAAAGCAATTGCTGGGTACCCACTCAACCGGTTACAAGACAAAAAAAAAGTTTTTGCAAAATGTGTGGTTTTTTAAGGAAAAAACTAACATTGTGGTTTAAAACGAAAAAAACAATAAATATGGGGTCTTTATTGGAAATAACCCTAAAAGACGAATATCAACTTGTGATGATTAGTTTTAAATGTTTTGTTTATTACTTTGACTTTTTAATTGATAGAAAATTCTAAAATAGGAATTATAACTTTATATGCGGAAGCATGACATAGAGAAGAAAATTTTGTTGGCTAAGATGTTGTTCAATTTGGAAGTACGTTGATATTACTGTATGTTTGATTTTAAATATTCATGTTAATGTTACTGTTGATGTATGTATTAGTCTTAAACAGAATGCATTGGTTTGTTTTTTATCTCATCACTTGAATACTTTGTGTAGGTAGGAATTCTTGGGCACCTTTTCCTGCATTACACTCATCGGTTTGTTCAAATCTTAATCTACTCAATTAAACTTGCTTTCTTTGGCTTCAACCAATCTGCAAATCCTTTTGGTTCCATGGATAATGATGCCAGTAGTTGGCATTTTATATAAGAACACTGAGCTCGATGAGTATTTGACAATTACTTTAATTATATAATGCTTTTCAGATCTTGCTTTAAGAAATAATCAAGTGGAGTGATTTTAACAAATAGATTGACTTGGACTGCTTCCAGATTCCCTTTCAAGGTTCTGATGGTCAACTTATTATCATGTATTGAAGAGCTCAAAATGTTACATTGTTGCAACTTGCAATTATAAGTACACACAGACTATATATATTAGTGTTTTTTGTGCTTAATGCAAATTATATGCTTATGATATACATGTACAAGAAGTTCATAACAGGAAACTACCAGCAAATATGGTTCACAGCGAGCACAACAAGATTAGCCTTTGCCTTCTAATACTGTCGTGCTTTTTAAACCATGCAGTATGCGCACACTCCAATTCATCACAAAACCAAAACATAAACATAAATAATGATATATTAATAGGCGTGGGAATCATTCTAGATATGGAGTCGCCATTGGGGAAGTCCATTCACAGTTGCATTACCATGGCCATATCTGATTTTTATGCTCTTCACCACAGTTATAAAACAAGGATAGTTCTTCACAATAGGGACTCCGAGGGAGACCCAGATAAAGCTCTTTCAGCTGGTATTATGCTCTCTTGTTTATTAATTTCTTGGTTTAATTATATTAATCTACTTCAACTTTGTTTCTTTTTACTTGCGTGAGCAGTATATAATCTGCTGAAAAAAGCGAAGGTGCAAGCTATCATAGGCCCAGAAACGCATCTTCCATCGAAGTTATTGTCCTTGTCTGCTGATAAAGCTGAAGCTCCTATATTTTCTTTTGCAAGTCCGTCTTCAAGGGAATACCCATACTTGTTCCAAATCAAACAAGACGAATCCACTATGGCCAAAAGCATTGCTGCCCTTGTGACATCATTCAATTGGAGGAATGTTATCTTTATTCATGAGGACACCGATGATGGCATGGAGATCTTAAGGTATCTGGCTGAGTCATTCCAAGATAAAAACATCCGTATCAGTTACAGATGTGCGATTTCTGCCTCAGCCACCCATGATGAAATCACCCAAGAGTTACGTAAGATCATGACTTTTCACACAACTGTAATTATCCTACATGTGTCACCTTCACTAGCATCTACCCTTATCTTAAATGCAAAAAGGTTTGGAATGGTTAGTGAAGGATATGCATGGATTTTAACTGAAAAAACAGTTGACCTCTTGCGATCAACGAACTTTACTGTCATTGAGTCATCGCAAGGGGCACTAGGTTTTAGGTCGTATGTTCCACCATCAGACAGGCTGCACGATTTCTTTCACAGAAAGAACTCCACCTCAGTAAGAAAAGAAATGCCTGTGCCTGCTTTATGGGCATACGATATAATTTGGGCACTTGCCGAGTCTGTAGAGAAGGTTGGAGTCCCACATAATGGTTCTATGCTCTTACATGAAGTTTTGAAAATCAGATTTAAGGGCATAAGTGGTGATTTTCAGCTTAGTGAAGGAAAAGTAATGTCCAATGGATATGAGATTATGAATGCCGTCGACAATGGTGAGAGGAGAGTAGGATATTGGAAACATTCACAAGGAATCAGGAGAGCACACCCACAGATTAACAGCGACCGTTTATATCCTTGTCTAGGTTCTGAAGCTATTATCTGGCCCGGAGAGTCTACAACTGCTCCAAAAGGTTGGGTGTTACGAGCAACTTCCAGTAAAAGGTTAAAAATTGGTGTGTTGAAGATAAAAAACTTTAAGTACTTCATGGATGTAGATCATGACGTTGAGAACAATGTTACAACTGCCACTGGGTTCTCCATAGATGTATTTAATACTTGCATTCGTGCATTACCATATCAAGTGCCTTACACGTTCGTTGTATTTGAGAATGCAAGTTACGACAATCTTGTACAGAGGGTGTATAATGAGGTATATATATATATATATATATATATATATATATATATATATATATATATATATATATATATATATATATATATATATATATATATATATATATATATATATATATATATATATATATATATATATATATATATATATGTTTGTTTCTCATGAATGCAAATTTAACACGATCGAAACATATATATATATATATATATATATATATATATGATTTACTTGGAAATTAATCAAGACATCTAATTTGGTAGTATATATATGGATTTGCTTCCGGACAGGAAATTGATGCAGTCGTGGGTGATTCAACAATCTTGGCCAACAGATCTGTGTATGTTGACTTTACAGCAACTTACACTGACTTGGGTGTAGGAACACTAGCAAGAATCAAGAAAAATGACAAGTGGTTCTTCTTGCAGCCGATGGAACTTCGTCTATGGATAACTACTATTTCTTCTCTTTTCTACACTGTCTTTGTTGTTTGGGCTGTTGAACGTATGAATCCAAATTCCGATCAGAAAATTGGAACAGTATTCTGGACCATCCTATTGACCATCTTCTTTGCTCAAAGTTCGATCTCCCTCTTTCTCTCTAAAATGTTAATTTTTACTCTCTGAAATAGAATTTAATAAAGATCTGACAATGATTAATTTGCGTTTGTATTGTAGGAGAGAAGTTCTCGAGGAGTCGATCAAAATTTGTAATGTTTGTCTGGTTACTCGTAGTGCTAGTCATGTTCACGAGCTACACTGCAACACTGACGTCACTGTTGACAGTAGAGCAATTTGAATCAGCGTCCAAGGGAGGAATTGTGGGGTTTCATGGAGGCTCTTTTATGAGAGGAGTGACTGTCAGCAACCTGCACTTTGAAGATAATTACCGAAGGGCATACTACTCATATGAGGATTATGCTCATGCTTTATCGAAAGATGGTGAAGCTGATGCCATTGTTGATGAAATTCCATACATCAAGATGTTTCTTAGCAAGTACCCTGGTGACTATGCCTTGGTCTCTTCTCAACCAATCACTTCTGGTTTTGCCTTTGTAAGTAAAGTACCCCTTCCTCTTCATCACTTGCACTAGTTTACATAAACTTACATATATATAATAATTTATGACGTTAGACTAGTAAAGTAGGAAGGTTGAGTTTCGTCTAGAGATGGCAACGGGGGCGGGAACACAGGGGATCCCAATCCCCATCCCGATCCCCGAATCCTCATTCCAAACCCCATTCTCATCCTCATCCCCACCGGGGAATATAAATAAACCTCCATCCCCACCCCCAACGGGGACTAGGGATCCCCAACGGGGAGACAGGGATTTCTTTTTCTCTTTTAACATGCAAACTTTTACATAAGAAAAAACTCTATATTTCAATTTTACTAGCATAAATTTAAAGATTTTATATAATATATAAGTACCCATAAATTGCAAAAAATATATAAATAAATTTTATACCAAATTTAAATACATACATGAAAAATCAAGTAGAAAAAAATTATCAGATTGATATTTAAGGTAAAATATATCAACCAAAAAGAAAAAAATATATATATACACGAGTTTAAATTAGATAAAAGAAAAAACAAAAAGTATAATTTCAACCAAGTAGTTACTAATGAGTTAGGTTACTTAGATCAAATTTTAGATCAAATTTTATGTATTATAAAATATATTATAAATATTTGTTGGGGCAGGTCCGGGGTCGGGGATTAAGGGTATACCCGTCCCCATCCTCATCCCCACTTTTTTTATTCGGGTATTCCGCATCCCCGTCCCCATCCCCGGTCAACCTGGAAATTCCCCAGTCAAAACGGGTGCGGGTTTTGGGTTCCCCTTTGGGTATGGGGCTTTTTGCTAGGGCTGTCAAATCGGGCAGTCGTGTCGTGTTTTTGTCTGACACGACACGACACGACAAGTTTTTGTATAACACGAACACGACACGACACGATGTCGTGTTTTTTTTCATTAACACGAAAACGAACCAATTAAAACACGGCAACACGACACGACACGACAAAGATAATATTATATAACTATTAGTGTATTTCGTTCATACTTACAGATATATAACACGACAAAAACGACAAACACGAAAAACACGACAACCACATGCTTAATCGTGTCAATTTCATGTCGATTTATGAACACGAACACGACACGACACGACATTGTGTCTTTTAATCTTGACACGAAAACGACACGAACACGAATTCAAATTTTGATTTCGTCCCGATTTCGTTTCGTTTCGTGTATTTTTGTCGTGTCGTGTCATAAATTGACACCCCTACTTTTTGCCATCCCTAGTTTCGTCAAGGAAATAGTTCTCAGGAAATGCAAGGGAAATTTTGAATGCTAATGTATTGATTTTTATTATTAGAATTAGAGTGACAGCCATTAAAAAAAGATAGCATTTAGATATTTTGGGAATGTGGGAGTCCCCCATCGCCTCCAACATGAAACAAAATCAATTATAAATATGCTCTTCTACTTCTAAACTTTTTTTATCTTAATCCAGTTTCACATTGGGTTTTGTCCGTTTTCAATGTAAACCATGTTTTCAATTGAAGTGGTTTATTTTACTGTTCATTTATAGATGTTTTGGCCCCATTGAACCATGTTTTCAATTGAAGTGGCTTATTTTACTGTTCATTTATAGATGTTTTGGAATTCTAACTATAAACAAAACTTTTAGATTATTTTAAAATTATCTCAAATAGTTATTTTACCAAATGTCAATCACTAATAAGTTTTGAAACTTGTTATTTTGTAATATTTTTTAAATAAAAAATATCTACATGTCAATTTGTGGTTTTTTTTTTAAATTTTAAATTAAAATACCACATAATCTTATATTTTTATATGTAAAGTATTAAATATAATAAATATTATAATAAAATGCAAATAATATATTTCTTAATTCCTTATTTTAAAAGTTACTTATTATTTATATTTTAATATTTTATTTTTCACGAGTTTTACATCTAGTATGTAATAAAGACAAATTTGTAAAAAATGTCTTATCAAAAATTGACATTTTTTATCAAAATGTTTTGGACTAATATTACTGGTCCAAAACCTTTATTTTGTTACGGTTTTGGTGTAGAAAATTTTAAAACTTTTTATAATGATATATTTGTTCGTATCAATATGATTCTCTTTCTCTTATTTATTTTTTTAATTTTTTAATTAAAAAACATAGAAAATAAAATTAAAAATAAACTCACATCTAATACCACACCCACCCACCATCTCTTTAACATACATAATACCCATCACTCTCTCACTCCATTATGTCACCAGAAACCACTGCCTTATACCAGAAAACACCGTCGTCTGTCGAAAGCCATCGTTCCCTATAGGAAACTAGTGCCATAGCCGCCATTTTCTTCCTTTACTTCGTCTGTTTTTGTATCCATCATCTCTATTTTTCTTCGCCATCGCCTACATAAAACTCTTAGATCTCTGGCAGAACCTTAGCATTATTCAGCACCGACTTCAGAGGTTTTGTCTATTTCTTCGTCGCTTTCGTATATAAGAAACCCTAGCTCACGACTTGATGTTTTTAGGTTTGTAGATATGTCGATTGATCTCGAGGTGACGACGATGCTAGGGTTTCATTTTCTTTTTCAGGTGGTGCGACGACACAACTAAAGAAGATGAATGGTGGCGGTGACATGCCAGATTGACATAGATCTGAAAACCAATGACGACGACGTAGATTAGAAAAGGGGGAGGGTTTTTAAATCGACATTGTTCGAGGAGGTTTTTGAAAGTTTGCGTTTGTCTTTGCTGGAAAAACATGGTTTTCAGATCGTAGTTTTCCTGGAGGTGTTGGTGGTGTTCACTTTGTGGTGGTGGTACAGAACTCGTTCCAATCTTCGTTGACCTATGGTGGTTATGTATATAGATAGTGTTGACTGATGGTGGTGGAGTTTGTAGTTTTCCGACAATGGTTGTTTTAATATTTTCTAAAAATGGTTGTGTTCATATTTTTCAGGGATAAGTATTCCAGATTAAGTGTGTGTGTGTGTGAGAGAGAGAATGAGGGTTATAGGTGGGAGTGAGGGAGAGGGAAGGTTATATTTTTTATATTTTTTGTTTGACTTTTAATTGAAAAATACAAAATTAATAAAAAAATAGAAAAAAGAAAATACCAAGGACGTCAATTTTAGATATTTTCAAAATGTTATGAACCAAACTTACAACAAAATCAATGTTTTTGACCAATGGTATTAGTCGATAACTTTTTGTACCAAATTGGTAATTTTCAACAAACCGTATGCACCATATTTTAAAATTTTTGTATCCAATAAACTTTGTAAAGTTTGTGTCATTAGTTGTTACATGATTATGTATGATTTTATTCCATATTTCCAGTTAAGACGTACATGTTAAAAGGAGGAAAAAATTGCAAAACTTATTCATGTGGTATGTCGAAAATTGTCACTTTGGTCTAAAATATTTTAGAGTTACACCATTGGTCAAAAACTTTGATTTTCTTACGAGTTTGGTCATGTTTGTTTTCAATCTTTTTTTTCAATTACGACTTTGCCATTTTTATTTTCATTTTTTATTTTTCTATATTACAATAACTATAAAAAAAAAAAAAAAAAAAAAAAATTATCATCATCACACCTCTCCCCTCTATCTCTCTTTACATTACACACTCTTATATCAGACCTTCGGCTCCAACGAAGGCGATGAATCGTCGAAACTTATGAACGCCACTGTCACCACTGTCAGAAGATATGAATGCCACCACTGTCGTTAGTCTATACAACCATTATAGTTAAAGAAACCCTCCGATTAGGAAATCTTTCAAACCCAATGAACAATCAGATTAGGGTTTTCATCTTCAGCCCCACCATCTACGTCACCACCAACCTTCGATCAGGAAAACCCTTCTAGAAACAAGAATGACTCCATATAATTGATTCCTACTATAGAGAAAACGAATCGAGATCTGGAGAACTAGGGTTTTGTCATCGTCGGTTATTTGCAAACAACGAATCTGATTTGTCCTCCACTTTTGAGACACCACCGTTTGTAAACCCACTTCCCATTAATCTTTTCCACTTCGCTGGTAGTCACCTTCACCTTCGTTGGAGATCTAGACCATCGTTAGAGATTTCGATCACCCCCCAACACTCATGACCATTAGAGTTGTGCAAATACATGAGTTTGTACCTATATAGGTTGATCTACGATGTGATTCCAGATGTTGGTGGTGGTGGTGGTTCCACCTTAAAATATATAATGGTGGCGTTAGGGTTACATCACCTGAAAATAGATGATAGCGGCGATAGGGCTTGATTAAGATGATGGTGCTAACGACGACGCTAGGGTTACCAGATCGTTGTTTCTTTGTCTCTCTGCATCATGATGAAGATCACCACGAACTGATCCATATCTGCACCATGGTTCCAGATGTTGGTGGTTGTTTCCGGTGAGAATGGTTATGGGATGGGTGGTGACGGTTTTGATTGGTGGTGGTGTTTACTGGAGGGCAATAATTTGAAGAATGGGGAAAAGTTTATAGCTGGAAAAGAGAAGGGGAGAGGTGTTAGGGTTGAGGTGGTGTTTATATTTCTTTTTAACTTTTTTTTTATTGTTGTATAAAAAGAAAAATGAAAAACAAAATAAGGGTAAATTCATCAATTTAAGTATTTACAAGAAAAATGGACCAAATTACAACGATAAACTTATTTTAGACTGTTGTTGCAACTCTAAAACTTTTTAGATTAAAATGACAATTTTCAACATATGATAGGGATTATTTTTGCAATTTTGTCTAAAAAGAAAATTAAGGTAAACAGCCTCCATAAATAAAATTGTATTTTCCAAGATATTTTTCTTAAGTTCGTAAATATTGCAACATCTTTATTATTTTAGTACTCCAGATTGTATTGGAAACTGCACCCGAGCATTGTTTTCCAATATTATCGTAACAAAATAATTGGGTCTTTTTTTGTTGTCCATTCCATAAATTTACTATATTTTTTGCTTAGTATTTTAGATATATTAAAAATACTTCAAACATTTTTCTTAAACGGTATTCTAAACATAACTTTGCATTTTCCTTAGTAGAACATGAATTACAAGTATGTTTCATACTATCATACACATATATGTTGACATATATCTTATTCAGATCTTCCAAAAGGGTTCTCCTCTTATTGAAGAAGTGTCAAGAGAAATCGCGAGGATAAGACTAGACGGAACTCTGGGAAGTTTGGAGAACAAATGGTTTAAGAATCAGTTATCTCTTCCATCCAGAAATTCCACAATGCCCAAAGACTTGAAGCTTGATAGCTTCAGTGGTCTTTTTATTATCAATGCTGCAACTTCTACATTAACCCTTTTGATCTCTTTACTTTGGCTACTTTTTCTCAATTTCATGGAGAGGTTTGATTTAGCTATTGTTGATTTAGAAGGTGATCTTCTAAATTGAAGAAAATCTTAAGTTGATTTGGGTGGGGGTGGGGGGGGGGGGGGGGGGGGGGGGGGAGTTTTTGTGTTTGAAATCGCCCCGTTTGTTTATGCCATTCACTTCCATTAATAAATTCGACACTGTTGGTTAACATTAATTTTTTTTAACAACCAAATTAATATAAAAGAATTCTAACAAGAAACTAGAGAGAATAGAAAATTACAAAGAGTTTAAAGGACATTGCAGCCAACAACTAATAGAGCAATTCTTATTTCTATTAGTAATAGAGCAGTTCTTATTTGTATTAGTAAACCATAAAAAGAAACTCATGCATAAAATCTAAAATTCCTCTTGTTTGAAACTTTCCACCAGCAAAAACCTTATCATTTGGAAACCTCTAAATATACCAAAAAGTACTACCCACCACTACGTGAATAGCATTCTTCTTAGTAGATCGAAGATGCAAAGAATCAAAATAGTCGAATAGGAAAGAAACAGAAGAAAAGTAGACAACTTCCAACCCCAATTATTTTAAAAACTGTCTTACGTTCTATCTTGTAACGTTCCAACTTTTCAACAAAAAATTTTCATTTTTATTTATTAAAATATGGCCAGAAGCATTGCTGCCCTTGTGACATCATTCAATTGGAGGAATGTTATCTTTATTCATGAGGCACCGATGAAGGTAGAGAGATCCTACCTTATCTAGCTGAGTCGTTGCAAGATAAAAACATCCGTATCAGTTACAGAAGTGCCATTTCTGCCTCAGCCACGTATGATAGCATCACCCAAGAGTTGCGTAAGATCATGACTTTCCACACAACTGTAATTATCCTACATGTGTCACCTTCACTAGCGTCTACCCTTATCTTAAATGCAAAAAGGTTAGAAATGGTTAGTGGAGGATATGCATGGATTTTAACTGAAAAAACAGTTGACCTCTTGCGATCAACAAACTTTACTGTCATTGAGTCAACACAAGGCGCACTAGGTTTTAGGTCGTATGTTTCACCATCAGACAGACTGCATAGCTTAACAACAAAATGGCACAGTTTGTTTTACGGAAGTAATTTCACCTCAATAACAAAAGAAGTGCCTGTGCCTGCGTTATGGGCATACGATACAATTTGGGCACTTGCGGAATCTGTAGAGAAGGTTGGAGTCCCACATAATGGTTCTATGCTTTTACATGAAGTTTTGAAAATCAGATTTAAGGGTATAAGTGGTGATTTTCAGCTCAGTGAAGGAAAAGTAATATCCAATGGATATGAGATTATGAATGCGGTAGACAATGGTGAGAGGAGAGTAGGATATTGGACACGTTCACAAGGAATCTAGAGAGCACACCCACATATTAACGGCGATCGTTTATATCCTAGTCTAGGTTCTGAAGCTGTTGTCTGGCCCGGAGGGTCTACAACTGCTCCAAAAGGTTGGGTGTTACGAGCAACTCCGAGTAAAAGGTTAAAATTTGGTGTTCAAAATATAAACAACTTTAAGTACTTCATGGATGTAGATCATGATGTTGAGAAAAATGTTACAACTGCCACTGGGTTCTCCGCGGATGTATTCTATACTTGCATTCGTGCGTTGCCATATGAAGTGCCATACACGTTCATTTCATTTGATAATGTGAGTATCGACGATCTTGTACAGAAGGTGTACAATGAGGTATGTATATGTATATTTGTTTCTAATTGAGAATTTAGCATGAAACATATAGTAATTAATTACTTGGAAAGACATCTAATTTTGTAGTCTATGGCTTAATTTGCTTCTGAACAGGAAATTGATGCAGTAATTGGTGATTCAACAATCTTGGCCAACAGATCTGAGTATGTTGACTTTACAGCGACTTACACTGATTTGGGTGTAGGAACACTAGTAAGAATCAAGAAAAAAGACATGAGTATGTGGTTCTTCTTGAAGCCGCTGCTGGATTTCCGTCTATGGCTAGTTGCTATTGTTTCTCTTATCTTCAATGCATTTGTTGTTTGGGCTATTGAACGTATGAATCCAGTTTCCGAAGTTTCACTTGGAACAGTATCCCGGATGTCCTTCCTATTGACCATCTTATTTGCTCAAAGTACACATTCTTTTACTCTCTGAAATACTAATTTAGTCAAGATCTCAACGTGATTTGCATTTGTATTGTAGAAGATAGGTTTTCGAGCAATCCGGCAAAATTTGTAATGTTCGTCTGGTTCATCGTGATGGTTGTCTTGTTCGCTAGCTATGGTGCATTCTTGACTACAGTGTTGACTGTAGAGCAATTGAATCGGCATCAAAGAGAGGAATTGTGGGGTTTCATGGTGGCGATTTTATGAAAGGAGTGACAGTCAACAATCTGCACTTTGAAAATTGGAACCACCGTCCATACTACTCATACGAGGCTTATGCTCATGCTTTATCAAAAGATGGTGAGGCTGATGCCATTGTTGATGAAATTCCATACATCAAGATGTTTCTTAGCAGGTACCCTGGTGATTATGCCTTGGTCTCTTCTCAACCTCTCACTTCTGGTTTTGCCTTTGTAAGTACCCCTTCCTCTTCATCCCTTTCACCTATGCATGAGATTCCGTTTTCTTTGCTTTATAGCAAAGAGTGTTTCATATACATAATAACACTTTAAAACATTTTTCTTAAACCATATGCCAAACTTATATACCTTTACATTTTTATTAATAGCACATGAATTAGAATTGTGTTTCATATTGTCATATACGCCCATGGTTGACACGTATCTTATTCAGATATTCCAAAAAGGTTCGCCGCTTGTTGAAGACGTGTCGAGAGAAATTGCAAGGATAAGATTAGACGGAACTCTAGGAAGTTTGGAGAACAAGTGGTATGAGAATCGGATACCTCTTCCATCCAGAAATTCTACAATGCCACAGCTGGCCTTGATACTTGATAAAATTGGTGGTCTTGTTATTATTAGTGCAGGCATTTCTGCTCTAACCTTTTTAGTCACTTTATTTGACCTAATTCGTACTAGTTTAAGAGAGTTCCAAAATATTATCAACCAATTCCGGTGATTTTATGACTAATATTTGTTTTTTCTTTTTCTTTTTTTCCCCACTTTTTTGTAATTGTGTTGTGTGTTTATACCCATTTATTTAGATTTTTATTTCCAGCGGTGTCCACCATTCCATTAGCCGTGTCTATCATATTTGGGAAGTGATTTGTACACAACAGTTTTTATCCACATATACTATTTTATGCTTGATTGAGTTATACAATACAACATTTTAAAACGTAAATTGTTACGTATATATAAATTTTTTTGTGTATGGATCATCTTCTATTATATTTTAACCAATATGTCTCATGTAACATCCTTTTTTGGCTTGGAAATTGTGCCAAATGGTAAAAATAAAATTTTTGGAAAATTAAATAATAAATAAATATTAGTTTAGAACATTTAAAATTTATAAATTAACTATCTTAATATTATTTAGAAAAATATTCAAAAATGGTCTTTACTATTTCCAAAAAAATCGAGTTCAGTCATTAACTTTTTAGGTTATCAACGTAGGTCCTGTGGTCTAATAACTTTTAATGGTTGGTCATTTTGGCTAACCTGGTAAGACTGGAACCTTTAACCACCTTTACATGCTCTGCACATGAGGGTATTTTCATCGTTTCAGTTGGCCTCCCTTCTTTATAAGCTTGCAACGACCTTGATTTCTAAACCTTATGCTTCCTCCTCTTCTTGAATACTTCTCCCTCTGTGCATAACATAAGAAAATGGTGGTTTGCAGATGTGGAGGTCAAGCAATCAAGGTTACTTCTTGGACGAATCGTAACCTTGTTAGGGAATTTTGGATTTGTTTTAGTTATGGTGGGGGAGATTTGGGTTCCTTGGCTGGGTTGACCCTCCAATGTGCCCTAGGGCAATGGTGGTGATTTCGGGTTTGCTTAGAACCATAAATAGACTCTAGAATATAGCAGTGGTGAAGTTGGGTGGGAACGAAAAAGTTTTTTTGGGTACATTTTGTGATGTAAATGTTTATTAAATAGTTATACTAATGTGTTTTTTCATATAGAGTGATAAATGTTTGCTTATGGTGATCGTTTATAAATATTATTGTGGCCATTGCTAACTTCAGGAGATACAAGTATAATTAAATAATAAGGATAAGTTATCTTTCCTAACATGTTTAATCGTTTATTATTACTATTTTTTACATCCAACTACAAATAAAAGTTTAAGACTTCACCAAAAATGATCTATACTAACATATTATTTCTTTTATTATATCGTGAATATTGTGAATGTTTACTCACTCACAAGAAATTAAAAGGTGATCATAATATTTATAGTGATGTCTTTTTTCATATAGAGTGATATACTTATGGTGACCGTTTATAAATATTATCGCAGTCATTGTTGACTTTTGGAGATACAAATGTAATTAAGCTGTAAGGATAAGTTATCTTTCCAAACATGCTTAATCGTTTATCATTACTATTGTTCACATACACCGACAAATAAAAGTTCATGACGTCACAAAAAATGATCTATACTAACATGTTATTTCTTTTATTATGATTATTGATAACTTTTAGTGGCATGCATGTTTAATATTCTATCGTGAATATTGTGAACGTTTACTCACTCACAAACAATTAAACGGTGAGCATAAAATAGTAATAGTGATCTGTTTTTTTCATATAGGGTGATAAATGTTTACTTACGGTGACAATTTATAAATATTATTGTGGCAATTGTTGATTTTTGGAGACACAAATGTAATTAAGCTGTGATGATAAGTTATATTTCCTAACATGTTTAATTGTTTATCATTACTATTGTTTACATATACCGACAAATATAAGTTTAAGATGTCACCAAAAATGATCTATATGAACATATTATTTCTATTATTATGATTATTGATCTATTTTAGTGACATGTTTAATATTATATCGTGAATATTGTGCACGTTTACGCACTCACAAGCAATTAAATGATGAGCATAGAATAGTAATAATGATGTGTTTTTTCATATAGATTGATAAATGTTTACTTATGGTGACCATTTATAAATATTATCGCGGTCATTGTTGACTATTAGAGACACAAATGTAATTAAGTTGTAAGGATAAATTATCTTTACTAATATGTTTAATGGTTTATCATTACTATTGTTTATATACATTGACATGTTTAACCCGTCACAATATGTTTTTTATTATTTATATTGTAGAATAGTTTTTTCTTTTAATTTTAATTACACATATATTTTCCATTTTCATTACTAAGATGCGCAAAAACAGTAATATAGATTATGATGTAATAAAAATCTATTTTTTAATAATAATAATTGAAAAATTACTACATGAAAAACATACATAGAATATAAACTAAACTCTACATAAATTAAAAGTAGGTGTTGCACTCATTAGCCGAGTTGCTAGAAAATAATTCATAGGCTACTTTTTCTTGGGATGTTTTTTCTTAGGCTTTTTTATTTCATTATTTACTTCAACTATATGTATATCCGGATCATGTAACAACATAATTAAAAATAGGTGTTAAACATGCATTGAAGCAAACATGCATAATTAGTTTATGTAATTAACTAAGAGAATCGTTTAAAAAAATTATAAGGTATAATTAGTGAACATAAATTATGAAAATAAAGTACCTCGGGATCAAGGGTTACAAGATTTTTTCCCAAGTCATAAAACAACATATTGCATTATTAACTGTTAACGGGCGTTTCTCTTCGTTTGGCACACATGCGGATGGCTTTATTTCTTCATTCACAAAAACTTTATAGTAATCAGCCGTTAATGGTTTTCCATGTATTTTCTGGTTTTGTTCGGTAGAATAGATGAGATGACCATTCGCAACGATGTTGCTACGTTCAGACATTGATAGTGAACATTTTATTCTCTACATATAGATGCACATATTATTAATAAATGTATAAAGCCATAAGTTTGTTTCACTAACATGTATATCTATGTAAACATGTCGAATATACATACTTTTTTTAGTTGTTGCAATGTCTTGGGTTGAGGTGTTGATATCCTTTTTTTTTAGTTGAATTCCCAGCTTGTTGCTCTTCACACTTAGATGTAACATTTTCTTCACCGTCATTCAGACTTTCCTGAAAAATAGTTTACCATGTTTAGTCTACAAAATACAGTTAAAAATATTGGAAAGGGAGTGTACAAAACATATTATTATATTTATTAACTTACATGGTATTCAGCCTCTTTTTAGGGTATTTGAGATCCTGATGCACCCACATAATTGTTTTTTCTTTTCTGGGATGATAATATGCAATGAATTGTATTTAAACTATCATAAAAAATTAACTTACTTTTTTTGTAGAAGCCTTTGTTGGATGTGGAGTAGTAGTTATTGGACAATATGGATAATTAACAATAGGAGGAGCCAACCTCATTAGATACTCAACTTGCCTAACTCAGATCCTAATTTGCTTTTATTTGCTCCTGTAGGCTTTGCTGAAGGAAAACATTGTTTCTTTTGATGAGGATCTGGCTTGAGTCAAATCCTAATATCTGGTTGGAGTGACTCTTATGCCAACTCATTTTACAATTCCACCATGATCTTTGCGAAAGACCAGTTAGAGAGCATATGCAGCTGGTTCCAGAAAGGTTTTTCTGTAACATCTAAAAAATCACAACCAATTTAAAGTTTTCAATTCAACCCATTTGCTAATAAAAGTGTTTACAAACCATTGTTTTAAAAACATCGTTCAAAACATAGTTTTCCAAGATCAAAAACATAAAATCAGGATGTGTACGGTCATGCCTTCACCTTCCCACGATCTTCGAAAATACCTGAAACCATAACCAAAAACTATAAGCCAATGCTTAGTGAGTTCCCCCAAAGTACCACCACACAAAATACATAACATAAACGAACAAACTGATGGGTTTGAGCCATAAGAACATTCCTATGTGCACATACAAACCCTAATGCTTGGATCTAGGTTTCTCTAATTGAACATCCATTCTATCCAAGACTTCTAATGGTAATTCTAGTATAATAACAATAAGAAATCAGATTTAGAAGATTACCTTGAATCACTTGCTTGAATCTTCTTGTCCTTGAAGCTTAGAGTCACAAATGTCACTCCTCTAATGGCTTACAAACACCAACTAGCAAGAGGATGATTATAGAGAGAGGAGAGGGATGAGGAAATCGGCTAGGGTTTCTTTAGAGACAAGTGTGCCGATTTTCCATGACCCCTAGGGTCTATTTATACTAATGAGGCTCCTAGGGTTTCACCCTTAAACCCCAATTGGATAACTTAGGCCCTAAGCAATCCAATATCCATAATGATAAGCCTTGGACGATTTCTAGGTCTATCCTAACCCTAAAATCGTCCACCCCTTATCCATAAGGGATTATAGCCCAAAATACAACTATCATACAATTGACAGTTTAAGCCCATTTATACAATTAATCTCTTTAAGTCACCAAATTAATTCCTAATTAATTTATGACTTATATTAATCAAATAACAATATTATTATTCCTTATATTATTCTCATAATATATTAATAATATTTCTTCTCTCATTATAAATCATCCTGTCAAGTTGCTATGGAGAAGGCAACCCAAAAGGACCATGCCCAATCGGGTCAAGTACTTACCAAATATAGTTGCAGCTTTAGACACTATTCCAACACAAACATGTTGGGTCTAATCAGTCATCAGACTGGAATATCCTTAGGCCCTCAGTATGATTCTAGCATGCCAATCGGGTCTTCAGCTCATATCTGGAATGCTCATGAGCCCTCAGAATGAGTCTGGCATGCCAATCGGCCCTCAACTCATATTTGGAATGCTCCCAATCCCTTAGCATGAGTCTAGAATGTCAATCGGCTCTAGGTGTACTCTTCTATATGCAGGGAGTACTCGGTGCTTGACCAACTTATAAGGTGTTGATTGCATACATGCATCATACCACTTGGTATGCCCAACTACATGCCTTGTTCATCCCTTTTCCATTAAGAGCTTAATACTCAACATCTTCACCAAAGTCAGATCTAAGGCTAAAATATCATTATGAGTCATAAAATTTCCAACTTCATGACTTTGCATGGCCAACAAGTGCTTAAAACACAAACCTTAAAATCTTAATGCATTAATACCCTCCATAGCATGCATGGAGTGAAACTAACTCTCAAGACCACATTTTTATGACTCGAGACCCCTCATAAGGTCTTAAAGGAAGACTTATTGGGTCAAGAACATGCCGTGCTAGAGAATCACCATTTTTGGGACAGAAAGTGTCTTAAAGGAAGAAATGTCTAGATCTACAAGATGGAGTCATCATGTAACACCGTAAATTTCCAAACTATTTTTTGCATCTATAAAAACCTAATTCATTTGCAAATCATAAAAACATCATTATTTGAAACTCAATTTATAACATATAAAAATATCCCAAGATCTCATATCATAAAAATCTCGTGTGTGTACTGATCAAGCCGGCGCCTTCCCGCGATCCTCACTAGTACCTGAAACACATAACACAAAACACTGTAAGCACAAAGCTTAGTGAGTACCCCAAAATACCACATATAACACATATTAGCCACTCGAGGCTATAACTATGTGGGTCCGTACACCCAAACTCTGTGAACCCTCATGTTCTAACTCTGCAAGCATGCACAGCATAAATCACATAGAAGAATGCAATGCAACAACAATATATATAAAACACTGTATCACATAACTTTATTTACCTACTCAAGGTAAAGTATAGTGAGAAGACTCACCTCGCGTATCTCAGTAACTCGTAAATCCCTGAAATCACTAGTGCTCGATCTCCCGAGCTATAGTCCTCTTATAACACAATATATCTCTAATTAACACTTCCCATCTAAGGTTGACTAACCCTATCAAGTCAACATCG